TAATTTCAGACTCAAGTGGTCCATATCAAGCAAACATGTATATAGATTGGAATGACAATTGTAATTAGAATAACTTCAAATTGAAAAATAGGCGATTTTAAAATCATTAAATTGCTTAAACTTGCATTAATGTAAAAGATCATTCATTTTGTTACCTAATTCGGATACATTCAGTATGTGTTGACTACACAAGTTACCAGTTTGTTTTTAGAAACATTAACGCGCAAAATGAAGGAATAAATGGATTTTCTGATAAGTTCATAGAAAAGAAAGAAAGGAAGACCAGCAAGTGAGGAACACAAAGAGTAGATTTTGACGTACATTTGAAGGTGATATGTATGGTTATTTCTAGTAATGTCCAGTACAGGAGTAGCTGGATGTTATTTCATTCTCAGATCATCGGGTGTCATACGATGGTGATGTCCGCTCTTTCAAGGCTAGCTTCTTTGTCAGAGTAAGCATTTAAAAAATCAGTTGATGTAGATTACAGTCCAGTCGAACTGCTATTTGGACCATTCTCTGTAAAGACACCGTGTACTATGAATGTTGTATATAGACCGGATGGGTGCCACAATGTGTCTGGGAAACCATATATCGAGAACTGATCTTGATCTTGATTACTTGGTGGCTGACTAAGCAAAATTCATTTGGAAGATACCGATATACTGATATTGTTTCATATTTAAGATAGATATCTAGTTCAATGTACCCCTCTTTCTTTTTAAGAGCCAGCTTCATTCCCTGATTTTTTTTCCAGCATGTTATGTTCAGGAAAAATTTGCTGGCATGTGGAATTAATGCAATGTGTTACAGTTTTGGAATTTAGATAGGCTTATATCTTTTTTTAATAGTTAGTGGTAAAGATGAATAATACTGGTCTTCCGGTCACTGTTTTGTGTTCTACAATTCTGATGCGAATTTGCTACAGCATGCATCGACCGGCTGTTGAGATACCATCTGTTTCTAGCGATTCGTAGGGACTTTATCAAGGAGAATGTTTAATTCCTCCAAACTTGAGTTATGGTCTTATTTTTGTACACCACACCTAGTCAGTATTCCTTCTTTCTGTCTTTTATCCCATCAGGTTTTGCCAGGAGTTTTCTGAGTATATTTTGAAGTTATATGTCTAGTTGAAAGTTGTGTGCTGATAATTCCCACCCTCCCTTATCCCAATTAAGTTTAACATTTAGTTAACAATTACTGACAGGTGTAGACCCTTTCAGAGCATCGAATGTGTTCCTTGTTTCTGGTCTTTTTTACATGTATGTTGCAAGATCGACCGGCCATTCAGAATTTAAAATGCAGTATTTCAAAATCATTCACTAGGCCTAGTGTTATTGTTTCATTTATTGTTAAACGGGCTCACACATGATTCACCAAGAAAAATCAGGGTGAAAATCTACCTTTTTTGTGAAAGGTGGGGGAGGTGGGGCATATGTTATGATGTAATTTTGGACGGTGGGTCCGGAGTTCTCCCGAAAAATTGTTTCCCAAATGCACAGCAATGACATTTCTCAGCTTGTCATTATGATGGTGATAATGATGATAATGATGATGATAATGGTGATCAAATCAAATTAGATCAAAGTATTTATTTTCTCAAAACTGAAAATATCAAGGTACAGTATATTAATACTGCATAACCAACAAAGCAAAGGCTTGTTGAAGGCATGCCTAAAGAATGTGACAAGAAAATACATGAATGGATGAATGAATGAATGAATGAATGATGAATGAATAAATAAATAAATAAATGAGTAAATAAATGAATTAAATAAATAATTAAATTAAATGAATGAATGAATAGATGGATGGATGAATGAATGAATATGATGGTGATGATGATGATGATGACAAACAGTTGGAGAGTGACGATAGGAATGCTCTCGAAGTGAATCCATCATGAAGGAGGGGAAGAAAGGTAATTTAGTCTGTGTGCAGGGCGAAGGCTTTGGCAAAAAGCAGATGTTTGGAAACGCACATCCTTGCTGTCTTAGGGGTCTGTTAATGACTCCTTCCAATTTTAAAATGTAATATTAAAAAAGAATAAATTCATTTACTAATCTGCGTCTCTTCGTAATAAAT